GCTGGCTAGGAGGCATAGATGGAGCCGGAGTGGCCCTTTCAGATTCTTGTGAGAGGGCAGCTGGCAGGAGAAAACCAATTTTTCAATTTGCGCCTGACCGGACAGGAGCAACACTAAGTTATTTGTAACCAGTGAATCAATGTTTGTGAGAGTGTCTCTCTGTCTGTGTTGTGGGTTTGTTCTTAATTAAAAACAAAAGACGGAAGAATTCCTGTCACTGTACATCATTGGTTCTCAAACTTTTTCTGTCAGACCCCCCCTTTGGAGAAAAAAAAAAGTCGGGCCCCCCCCAACACAAATAGTCAGGCTCAGTGGCAGTAACACAAAAATTTCCAAATTATTAGACAGGTCGCGCTTTAACGAATTGTCAACGTTTCAATTAATCATAGACACTTCCTTAGAACATGTAGAAGAAGACACACCTAGAATTAGCTTATACCTTTTCCAAATTCTTTCTAAAGCGATTAATATTATGTACGTAAGAGTTATCGTTATGTCTCACCCAACTGTCTAACACATACACACAACCACCGCATATATAAGTCACACTCTGAGCACAACTAACGTAATTAAACATTGGCAAGCAAAAAAAAATTATTGTCATTTAAGTTCACTGTAAAATCCACTGAGATCATAGGTATATGTAAATTCATTATATATCTGAAGACTGTCTTGACTATTTTTTTTTTATGATTCCAGACTAGATTTAATTAAATGCATGAAGTAGCATTTCGCACCAAAGTTCACCCCCTCCCGGGGTCCCGCTGCTCCGACTGTCCCCCCCAACGCTCTCTGTCCTCTTTTTACCAATAATGCTGCTTTCTTTGGTTCTACCTACGGAAATGAGTATAGAATTTTAATGCCCTCCGACGGGACCTGGGGGATACACTCCATGGGTATGCAGTGTATATTTTTCTCGTGAATGGGGACGAATTGATAATACTACACTCTACTAATGGGACTGTAAGTAATTTGTCAACGCCATCCACAATAAACGCACTCCTAACAACTCATCTTTAAGTGACATCGACGACCATGTATTCCTTTTGATTCACAACACTCCTGGGAGATCTTTCTTCATTGGGTGGTGTCGGGGGGTTTC